CCCAATATTACATGGTGGGACAGCTAATTGCATAAATTATATGTCGCATGAAGACATACTTCCTGAATCCATTCTCATGATTGACTAATGTCAAGTGCTTGTATAATGGGGGAGAAAAATAAGTTCACTCAATCCCCTTCATCTCTACCATGCATAATTTTATGAACCTCAGTTAAATGTGTCCCCCTCTCCAGGAGCCTTTGTTTTCTAAAGTAAAAAGCCCCCAACAATTTAGCCTTTCATTGCAGGGATGAGGCTTCAATCTTATGATCGTTTTAGTCGCCTTGTTTGTGCCTTATCCAGCTCTATGACTCCCACTGACTCAGTGATTGCAATCAGGTATCAGAAACAAAAAGCAGAAATCTGTTCACCACAGTCTCAAACACCATTTGTTGTCATGCCCACATGCTCCTTCAGTGTTTCTCCTTTCTTGTGTGTAGAATGTGATTGAGTGTTTACTGCCTTTGGAAAACTTTGTCTTAATCCCAGTTTAGATGGTTTGTGGGGAGGAAAGCCCCGTATTGCTACAACATGGGGCTTGTTTGTAGACTTCTGAAACCAGGAATCCTTTAGTGGTGCTCCGCATCTAAAGGAAAGAATAGAAAGAAGGTGCATGCATAACATGTGTTTGTGCATATCATCTGAAGGCAGCGAGTATTCTAAATGCAGCTGGACCTTAAATTTATATAAAGGCATTATGATGCTGGCAGTTTTATTCCCCATCCCTTTCTAATATTCCCTCGCTTGGAATTTGTCTTTTCACAGCCAGTGCACACTAAGTCGATGTTTTCATTGAACTATCCATCACTACCCAAGATCTCTTTCCTGGTTAGTCATTACTGGTTCAGACACTGTCAGTATATATGTGATGTTTTTTTACCCACTGTGCATCACTGTAGAATGACTTAAATTCAACCTCATTTGACATTCTGTTGTTCACTCACCCAGCTTGAAGAGATTCTTATGGAATCTTTGATTCTTACTCTTTGAAGTCTGCTTGGGCTCTAACTGTCTTTACTGGCTTGGTGTCATCTGAAAATATGGCCGTCTCGCTGTTCGTCCTTATTCCAGAACCCTTATTATTATGCAAGGCAAAAAAAAAATGAAAAGGATGAAAATTGGGCTTCTCCTACACCCAAATGAACACACCATTTCACATTCAAAATGGCCTGTCAATATGAGACATCATGCTTGGAGAAATGGGGAAAAAACAGGAATAACAGGTAATTGCACTGGAAGAAAACCTAAAGTAATTTTTCATTTTTCCCTTACTTTCCATAAAATATATTTCAACAGTTAGGAGGTTTCCTTAGGGATTCCTCGTTTGAACACCAGTAGCCATATAGTTTCCTTTTAATAATCCCTAGCATAGCATATGTATTTTGTAACCAGTCGGCAGACTACTATGAGCTAAAGGACTCATTCCTAGTTAGTAACGGAGGTTCAGATCTTGGCAATAAATGTGTGACCTATGGCTGCAATCCTAGAAAGTTGAGATGAGGTAGTGGGAGTATGAATGCATCTAGACTCTGGAGGTGTTTTCAAAAGTTTTCATTTCAACCGATCAGCATGATCAAACAAGGAAGCTTAAACAGAAAAAGAGGGCTTGCTTTGACCATTGAGTGATCAGATGCATTAAGAATGCCCCACATATCTCTAACAGTAAGTTTATAGCCTGTGGGAAAGTGAAATGTATTTAGTCAAGTTTCTTGTTCAAAGTATCCCTTCACAAACAAAAGCCCAGGATTACATCAGTGTGTGAAATCCCACTTTTTGTGTCTAGGTGTTCACATTAGTTTATCAGGAGATCATATGGAAGCATTACAATGTTGATGTTACATGGTATCCATGATAGAGAAATGGTGGAGATTAGTATTGGATATGAAGTACTGAGTATGGGGTAGTTTTTAAACAATCAGTTGTCTGCCATGAGCTAAAGAACTCCTTCCTGGTTCAGACCTCATCAATAAATATGTGGTGTTATGGCTGCAATCCTAGAAAGTTGGAATGAGATATAGAGCAATCCTAAGCAGGTCGACTGCACCCTACTGAAGTCTGCTCAATAGGCAGCTACACTCATTAGTATTCTTGAAAAAACTGTGGATATGGATTTACTTATACAAATTGGCACATCATAAAAATCAAGGAAGTTACAAGGTCATTACAGAACTGAGGTTGTATATATGTGGCCAGGACTGGGTATAGCATTTCAGCATGTTGTGTTGAATGTTGACAGTAAAATATGAAAATGCAAGCCATTTAAATAAGATTTCATGGTCCTGGACTGTAGAAAACACATAGTTTCAAGCCAGTATCTTTTTAAAAAAAAGTCAGCGTTTTCCAGCAACCTGTTTTAGCTCAGGTGGCTTGCTCACTACCCTTCTTCAAGCAGCTTTTTTCAGAGGCTACACAAAGTATTCATCTTCTCAACAACTCCAGTGTTGGAAAGCAGGTAATTCCAATCTTCCCTGGTGATTCTTCCAACTAGAGAAAGACTCTTCTTTTATGTTTGCCCAGCACACCTAATGACATAACTCCAACTGTATCCATCTGCAAGTGACACTGAATACTTTAGGCATGGCCGGTGGAGGGAGTACAAATATTTCCAAAAGCCATGCCAAAAAGTATATTGTCTTTTTATGCTAGCAAGTGGGAAAACCTACTATTAGGTACGCCATTTCCCTTGTTAAAAATAAAATGTCACACAGTAATGAGACCATATAGTTCCCCGTGGGCTTCATAACTTCTCTCCTTGTCAGATCTAAGTAATGGTTTTCATTCCATCCTTCCCCCTTAATCTCAGAGCTCTGCAAGGAGGTAAAGCTATGCCAGTTATGCTTTCCTCCTGAAAGAGAACCTTGAATGGGAGATCGTTATGGGCAAGAAAACAATACTGTTTGGAATAATTAATATAGAATCATTCTCAACAGTTCTGTAAAGGGCAGAATCAGTGGAACAGCTAGAATATGAGCGCCCTGGGGCAAGAAACTCTACTGACCCTCCCCATGTCTCCACCCACCTACAAAGCAAAAATGCCATTTTAAAATTTAACTGATGCCCAGTCTTCTTTCCCTCTCTCTCTCACTTCAATTAACCCTGGGGGTTTGGGGGGGAGGGATACCCACTTTTTTGTCATGAGTGGCAGCAAATATGTAAGACCTTATGGAATGCACTTAATGCCCTAAGCTAAACTGAACAAAAATATCCATCCACATTTTCGGGGGGGAGGGGATCGGGAGGGGGGATTATTCTTTTCATGGGTACAGCTTGCAGGCCATGGCTAGTTCTTGGTAGCTGACCAAGAGTAAGATTCTACATGGATTTATAAGCAAGTGTTGCCAAGAGGTGAATGAATCAGTCCACTTCTCTGTGGCAGCCAAAAGTGGATTTAAGGCACCCCCGGTGGTGGGAAATAATCATTACAGGGCAGGGATACAGTCCATACTATGGTACGAATGCTGGTACAACTGCACTGCACCAACCTCCCAGGACCCCTAGGGCTGTTGCCCACTTTGCAGTATAACATGGGCACAAAACATATGGGTGTATGTGACTCTGCAGAGTCAGATTATGTGGCCTGTAGTCTGCTCCCATGTGGCTGGAGGAGAGAACACCCCTTTCCTGTTGTGGTCCAAAATTCTGGGGGAGGCTGGGGATGGGAGTCATTAGCAGCGCAGTATTCTGACACCCCCCCAAGCTTTTCACTGTGTCCAAGAGCAGGGATACAGGGGAAGAAAGTGACAGGATGTTGACTCAGCTGTACTGTGGACTGAGAGTCAGCCCTCTGACTCCGCCCCACAGGGGAAATTTCTCCATTGCACTAAGTGTAAATCCATGTGGTTGTTACAGTTTAAGAGACCAGGTGTGTGTCTTTATTTACCAGGAGGGGGTGTGGCAATTATTCCGCCTTCTCTACATATAGTAATAGATTGGTGTGTGCTCAGTGTGTGAAATATTCCCAAGTGAGCTGCCATTTTGGTTGTGTTGATGAGATTTGGAGTTTTCTTCATGATATATTCAGAAAGGGTTTTTTAAATGAAGTAACAGAAAGCAGGCACTGTTAACTGAGGCATATTATAACTACCTCCATGCTTTTATTTATATGAAGAAATAATCTCAACGTTAAATATCTTTATTGCCTTTCTTATTGGTATACCTAACAACTGAAACCAGTACAGTTAATCCAAAAGAACATATACACAGTATATCCCTTTGGTAACCAAAGATGAGAGTTCCCACCCGCTCCTCCTGCAGATATTGGAACCATAAGTACCATACATGAAGAATCTGATCAATTAAAAGTAGTCGTCACTTAAGTCCCTATGGAACAAATGAGAGAGAGAGAGTTTGTTTGTTTGTTTGTTTGTTTGTTTGTTCCGGAGGGACATATATATTTGTGAACTTCCTGCATTGTGCATGGGGTTGGACTAGATGACCCGGGAGATCCCTTCCATCATTATGATTCTATAACTTAAGCCCCTTTGCTTTCAGTATAATTTAGTCAAGACTGACTTTAGATGGATTGGGGCCAAAGTCTTTGGAACAGAGTCTGGAGACTATTCCAAAGTTTCAGTGCATATAGCCCCGGAATGCTAATAACAAACTGTGGTTGCTTCCCATGTTAGCCTCAGAGCCCCAGTAGAGACATATGATATTGTGTGAAAGGAGAATGCATGACTTCTATAGCAACCCTGAAATTAAAGTTTGTCAACTCTTTTTCGTTTTTCTAGTCTTGCCTTTCATAAGAGAGGGACCATTTTTCTTTTACCGAATCGATGAAAGGGTCTATTTTCAGAATGACTTCATATCGACGGAAAAGTCACAGTTGCCCTCAGTATTGATTGCATGTCCATAATCACTTCTTGCTCAGTAAATTAACTTCATCCAATCATTTGCAATAGAAAAGGAAATAGATCAGTTAAGGAAAAAAAATATTTGCACTTAAAAAAAAATAAGACCCTCACCAGCATCTCACTCAGAATGTTCTTTTTGTTGCCTAGGAAGTGGATTTGCATCGAGTGAACAGCCAAGATAAGTTTGGGCTTACTGTGTGCTACAGAACTGACGATGAAGATGATATTGGCATTTATATAAGTGAGGTGAGAGAGAGCAGCTTTATACAGAACATCTGCCCTTTTCAAGTAGGGAAGAAACTGTTTCTTCCTGCTAATTATATTTCATGTTATTCCTAGTAGCAAGCTTAATTTTAAACATTTGTTTTTAAACATTTCTTAAAGCATAGTATGAAACATTTCACTGCCATTTAGCTTCTGTTCCTCTGTATCCTTCATGTTCATCCCCCTATATCTGTCATGTTTATCTACACATGCTATTTTTAACAAATGCATTCATTTCTGTGATTAAAACATAAAATATGGGATTTGCATAGTTTCATAGCAGGAGTACAACTTTGCTTTTTCATCTCTTTCATTAAATCAGTAAGAAGGATTTGGAGCTATGGTCAAAAGTACAACTTCGTACATATCACCTTGGGAGTATGCAAGCCCATCATGACCCTAGGTGGGAAATGGCGTGAGAACCAACCCTAAATCACAAGAAAGATTGTATATGTATGCGGGGAGTCATCCTAGTTTTTAGCACAAATGTTACCTCCCCTCTTTCAAAAAGTCAGCATCTAATTTATATTCATACAGACATGCTGACTTACAGTCTTTTAAAACATTCAAGTTAAATATTGCCTTTTGATTAATATACCTAGTGTGAATACTCACTTTTCCATCAGGTTATGCTAACGTCTTAGCACAGTGAAGTGGGCACCTTATGGTAAGCCCCTGTTCTAATTACATTTGAGAAGGCTCTGCTGTATTTACCTACACAAGCAACACAGCCAATATAGAACCAGTTTGGTGTAGTGGTTAAGTGTGTGGACTCTAATCTGGGAGAACCGGGTTTGATTCCCCACTCCTCCACTTGCACCTGCTGATGTGACCTTGGGTCAGTCACAAGCTCTGGCACAGCTGTCCTTGAGTTCTCTCAGCCCCACCTACCTCACAGGGTGTCTGTTGTGGGGAGGGGAAGGGAAAGGAGTTTGTAAGCCGCTCTGAGACTCCAAGTGAAGGGTGGGGTATAAATCCAATCTCTTCTTCTTCATCTTCTTCTTCTATAGCAGATTACCTTCTAGTTTAGGGTTTGTTCACAACCTACGTGCATCATCTCTTCATATGATGAACCTTGATTGAATGTACAAGCTGTCCAGTTTTAACAGTATTGTGTCACACTGACTTTGGCATGGATCCACTAGAAGGTTTCCATGGACAGAAAGGATTTCCGTTTGCAGAACCACCCCTCTCCTGTCCAAAAAGCTTGCACAGTGTTGATCCCTGGGGACAGGGGACTCTTAGGAACAGTATAAGCATGGAGTCAGAGTTCTGCTACAGGAGGAGGGAATCAGTGAACATTGACACCTCTCCCCACACCACACATGTGAAAATTCTCCAGTGGATCCAAGCTAACAAGTGTTGCAGTAGTTGTCTCTGTAGTGATCAATGACTCATTCATTCATACAAATCAATACTTCATTCTGCACTCAGTGAGTGATAAAGCATGTACTGTAAGTATGAATCAGTCCACTGGACTATGATGGACTTCCCAGACTCACCCCAGTGAACTTCTTATGCAATTGCTTCTTTCATTAATGTTGGTCAGTTATATCAGCAATCAACTTGGACAACCTGCAACTGATGCAGTTGAGCCTACCAAGCTCATGTATAGCACTGTATCTCCCATGCTTCTGATTAATTTGGAATGACATCTTCCTCTGTCTTGGAGGCCCTGAGCAGTTAATAGTGTTCATATTATTAGTAGTATGTACAGAAAATACTGTAAAATGTAAATCCCTCCTCTCTTTCCTTTACTTCACTAGCATCATAGTTAGGAAGCACTGAATTAATGGGAAGCAGCTAACTTTCTGCTCTTTTTTTGCAGATTGATCCCAACAGTATTGCTGCCAAAGACGGTCGCATCCGAGAAGGCGATCGTATAATTCAAGTAAGTTTGCAAATAATACAAGTATTAGCTATATTGTGAGAAATACTGCCAATGTTGATACCAGTTCATCACTTGCCTGGTTTTGTGTTCCCTTTTGAAAGTCAGTCGATAAGAAAATTGGATGTAAAAACGTGCCCAAAGCATGTGCTCCAAAGTAGATTTTCTTGGCATCCTTTCACAAAGCCAGCTGCTAGTTTTTAGGCCACGTGCAGTAGAATTTACTTGCACAGACTGGCCATGAAAGGCTGAAGTGTTACCTAGCAGCATTATAGCTGTAAGAGAAGATCTAAGAGAAAGAAAAACAGCAGTCTCCTATAATGCTTATCATTTATTTATTTATATTATTAGATTTATACTCTGCCTTCTCTGCCAAGGCAGGCTCAAGGCTTTTAATGTACAAAGGCATGTATAATTCTTACTTTAGTCAGCTGCATAGCAGCTTTGTGAATCCCAGTGGTCAGCTTATTTTTTGATGTGAAAAAATTATGTGGCAAGCAGTTATCTACTTTCCCAGAAGACGTTTTGAAACTCAGAGTGCACCCTACCAAGGTAGGATTCCTTGGTGCTCCTAAAAAAACTGATGAACAGATTTCCTCATTTGAAGGTGCCCGTAAACAAAAGAATCACCAGTCAAAACTTAAAGTATCTGTCTGGTGACATCTGAGCACGGCTTTTTTGCGATAGGACATTTTGGAGGTCATGAACTCAGAGGGTCACCATAAGTTGGAAGTGACTTGATGGCACTTAAAACACACATGGGTGACATCAGAAAGTAAGAAGATTGGACGTGGACTAACGGTACAATTGTAAGCAGGATTTCACAGATCCTTCGGATTGCACAGATTTGCTTTATAGACTTTGGCACCTTGAACTGAAAGGGACTGACTTGGCCCAGGCCAACTGCTGAATCTGTAGCTGAACCTAGAAATTAACTCAGACCTCTGACATGAGACAGCTGAGGCTGAGAAAATAATGCTGATGGATTGAAGTTCTCAGAAAGAAGGTGTGTTTAAGCCCAGAATAGTATTCTTGGTGCCAAAAAGATCTATATGGCTGGAATCTTGCAGATTTTTACAGAAATACACTCCATTATTTTATCACTTTTCAGTTATTTTTCTCCAGGAAGTTCTATATATTAGACTGTTAGCCTTTTTTTTTTACAGATTAATGGCATAGAGATACAGAATCGAGAGGAAGCTGTGGCGCTTCTCACCAGTGAAGAGAGCAAGAACGTCTCCTTGCTCATAGCAAGGCCAGAGATTCTCCAGGTACCGTGTCTAATGGGAAAGAATGAAGAGGACAATAGTCCCTGTCAGATATCTTAACCGTTGCTGAGCAGAGTGACACTAACCATGTCACATACATCATGCTGCTTTTTAACGATACAGAATCATTGCCTTTATTGCATTACATTATGTTGCTACTGCATTTGTGCTCGTGCCATCTGGATGCTTTATTCTATTGCACAGGAACTAATGGGGGGTGTTTGAAGGTAATTCTTGAAGCACAAGATGGGATTCTTATAACACTTGGTAAATAATTGTTTCCTGTTCTGACCTGGGAAAGTATCTGTGCTCGTGGCTCTACTTTTTCCACACGGAATGCCCATCAAGGACAGTCATGTCATAGGCTGACACAGTTGTTAAGTCAGTAATCTCATTCTGCTTCTCTTTCCTTCCTTGGCATGTTACTTTGCAAAGAGAAGCTGGATTCAAGTCCACTAGCACCTTAGAGACCAACAAGATTATCTGATGGAGCTTCATGATGGTATCTAAGGTGCTACTGGACTCAAATCTAGCTCTTCTACTGCAGACCAAACACAGCTACCCTCTGAAACTATCTGCAAAGAGGGAATCCTTATCCCAGAAAGTTGCTTACCAGGCCTCCTTTCAGGGAGGCACATTTATTTTGTATGTCTGTTTTGTATTGCCTCTTGTAGTTGGATGAAGGATGGATGGACGATGACAGAAATGATTTTCTGGATGACTTGCACATGGACATGCTGGAGGAACAACACCACCAGGCGATGCAGTTCACTGCCAACATGCTTCAGCAGGTAGGTGCCATTGTGTGTCGTTTGTCAAAGCGTCTTCATGCCCCATCGTAATATTCTGATACCTTAGGGGAAACGGACAAAAGGGTTATTTCTACAAAGCCAGGCTCCTCTCTGATTCTTATCATTCAGCACTTCATGCAGTTCTTTTAAACTCCCTAGGAATAAGAGAAAATCCTGTATTGGCAGAATATTTGTGAAAATATAGAATATCTACACTGTATCCATACATTTAAGAGAAAGTTCAAAAGCAAGAAATTGCAAGTAGATAAATAGGTACCACTTCGGTGTGAAGGTAGCCGCGTTCCGTGCGCCTTGGTGTTTAGTCATGCCAGCCACATGACCACGGAAATGTCTTCGGACAGCGCTGGCTCTTCGGCTTTGAAACGGAGATGAGCACCGCAACCCTAGAGTCGGATTCGACTGACTTTCGAGCAAGGGAACCTTTATCTTTACCTTACACTGTATCTATACATTTAAGAGAATAGCCATCCCACTGTCAGCTATGCTGCCATCGCAGGTGGGAGGGGGAAGGATGAGGCTGTTACTGACTGTCTTAATTTGCTGGAATGTTAGCTTTCACCTCTCACAGTGCCTTATCATGTAGCCTGCTCTAGTGACCTTGGCGTTTTCCTGTTTTCTCTGACTTGGTATGTGCATCCATTATTTTCGGCGGGCTTGCCTCTATTCGCTGATTGGCCTGGATCCATCAGGAGGGCCCCTTTTGAAATCTGTATATCTTTCACCTCTCCCACCTTAAGATCAGTTCTGACACTGAATGTGTATAACAGATGACCTACCTTTCCTGTCTCCAATAAAGCTTTACTCTTTGGAAAGAAAGTGTGGAGAACTGATTACTGTGGGACTCTGACACCCAACCAAACAATTCCCATTGAAGCAACAAATTCCTTTTGTTCACTTTGTTTAGATTCTTTTCCCCCACCAGTCCAAAGGATTTACAATGCATCATTAGCTCACATTATAGCATCATAATCATGGTCTTTAATGTAGCAAAACTGGATTTAAGTTGAAGTTCCATATTTATTCATTTGTAATTATTTATAGTCTGCCTTTCTCACTGATATTCAAGGCGGATTACATAATACAAGTCAGTACAATCACTAGAATGAGGAGTCATCTAATAAACAATGTGATTGGCCTAAGACTGCAGAAATCTGAAACAAGGCATAAGTATTAGACATCACATATTAAACAATGCAAGACATGGTATTACATAAGTAGAAATACAATGCAGTGAGAGAAAGATTAAAAAATACAGCAACAGATAATACATATTAGTAGAATAGTCCACAGTCCTCTTCTCTCTATCAAAACATCTTCCTGAATCATTCTGTTATACTGCAGCCATATTCCTTTATAAAAATGCCCTCCTGAACACTTTTGTTTTACATAGTTTGTGGAAATCCAAAAGCAAGAGAACTTTCCTGATCTTCTCAGGCAGGCCATTCCATAAGATGGGGGCACGACAGAGAACGCTTGTGTATGGGCAGTTGTTGATCTTGCCCATTTGCAGGTTGGCACCAGCAGAAGGCCCTGTTCAGATGAACAAAGTTTTCATGGCGGAGCATGGGAGGAGAGGTGGTACTGCAGATATGAAGGTCCAAGGCCATGAAGGGCTTTGTATGTGGGGTCCAGTACCTTGAATTTAACCCAGTAACTAATGAGCAGCCAGTGGAATGGTTTTTTTTAAAAAGCAAAGCAAAAAGACTGAAAGATGTATCCCCAATGACATAGGACTTTTAAAAATGTTCTTGATATCTGTTCAAAGGCATGTTCCCATCTCAGCAAACAGTGCAACTCTTTAAAAATGGTTGTTGTTGTTGTTCTTGGATTAGAAGAACTAGAAATACCATCCTCATATCTGTCTTCCATGTAAAACATTCCTGATGAATCACTCCCAATGCACCCATAGGATATAGGCACAGAAAAACCAGTGTGCTTTGGTGTAGTGGTTAAGTGTGCGGACTCTAATCTGGGAGAACCGGGTTTGATTCCCCACTCCTCCACTTGCACCTGCTGGATTACCTTGGGCAAACCGTAGTTCTGGCACAGCTGTTCTTGAAAAAGAGCAGTTTCTGTCAGAGCTCTCTCAGCCCCACCTACCTCAGAGGGTGTCTGTTGTGGGGAGGGGAAGGGAAAGGAGTTTGTAAGCCACTCTGAGACTCCTTTGGGTAGTGAAGGGCGGGGTATAAATCCAATCTCTTCTCTTCTTCTCTTTTACTTTTCTTTATGTTTTCAACTTCTGTGTAACTTTTTAAATTTACTTCTCTCACTAGAAGAAAAATGAAGAGGACGGAGGCACCACAGACACGGCAACTATTTTATCCAACCAACACGAGAAAGACAGCGGCGTAGGTCGTACCGACGAAAGCACTCGAAATGATGAAAGTTCTGAGCAAGAAAACAATGCAGATGATCACACTACTTTCTCCAATAGCTTGGGAAGCCAGAAGAAACTGACATATAGCCAGGACACGCTGGGCAGTGGAGACATGCAGTTTAGCAACGAGTCATTCATTTCAGCTGACTGTACGGATGCGGACTTTCTTGGCATCCCGGTGGATGAGTGCGAGAGGTTCCGTGAACTGTTGGAGCTGAAATGCCAGGTAAAGTCCACCAACGCTTATGGTCTGTATTACCACAATAGCACCCCGGATATGAGTAAAAGTGATCAAGAAAGTGTGGACAGGGAGCTGGAGATGCTGAATGAGGAACTACGCAATATTGAACTGGAGTGCCTCAACATCGTGAGAGCTCACAAGATGCAGCAGTTAAAAGAGCAGTACCGAGAGCCCTGGATGCTGCATAACAGCGGCTTCCGGAATTACAACACAAGCATTGATGTTCGCCGGCATGAGCTCTCAGATATCACAGAGCTCCCTGAAAAATCAGACAAGGACAGCTCCAGTGCTTACAATACAGGGGAAAGCTGCCGTAGTACACCTCTCACTTTGGAGATCTCCCCCAACAACTCTTTATGCAGGACTGCGGAAGGGCTCAATCTGCAGGTCAGCGAAGGGGCAGAAGCACAGGGTGGTTTCCAGAAAAATTTGCTGACATGCCCAGAAAATCAAGAATCTGGCACAACTAAGCCACACCCAAAAGATGCTGACCCTGACAAGCAACTGGAAAGCAAAGAGAGGAAAGCCACTGACGGAAGCAAAAGTCCCACTCAGCCACCCAAACCAGGAGGCTCCTACTTATCCTCATACCACCATTCCCCCTATAAACATGCCCATATCCCTGCCCATGCCCAACACTACCAGAGCTATATGCAGTTGATACAACAGAAATCAGCCGTGGAATATGCACAGAGCCAAATGAGTTTAGTGAGCATGTGCAAAGACTTGAACTCTTCAAACCAGAGCGAACCCAGGATGGAATGGAAAGTCAAGGTGAGGAGTGACGGCACCCGCTACATCACCAAGAGACCTGTAAGGGACAGGCTGCTGAGAGAACGTGCCATAAAGATTAAGGAAGAACGTAGTGGCATGACCACAGACGACGACGCCATCAGTGAAATGAAGATGGGCCGTTACTGGAGTAAGGAGGAACGAAAGCAGCATTTGTTGAAAGCAAAAGAGCAGAGGAGAAGGCGTGAGTTCATGATGCAAAGCAGGTTAGAATGTCTGAAGGAACAGCAAGGGGCTGAGGAGAAGAAGGAGATGAACATCATAGAACTGAGCCACAAAAAAATGATGAAGAAAAGGAATAAAAAGATATTTGACAACTGGATGACGATCCAAGAACTCTTAACCCATGGCACAAAGTCCCCCGATGGCACAAAGGTTTACAACTCCTTCCTGTCGGTGACTACGGTATAACTCTCCTGTGCCAAAGTTGTGTACATAACAACCCTACCATTGGGGTAGAGATTCCTGCCTCGTTAAATGTGGCAACCCTGGTTCTTTTTTGTATATAAGACCCACATGTCGAGTTTGTAATGCAAAGACTGCTGTGGGTGCAGCCGTCCTCAGCAGGGGACAGAAACAGTCACACACCCAGCATCTTTAATGGCAATACTGAACAGACAGAGCTTATTTGAAACACCGATAGTACCTTTTTTTGTAACTTGTTACCCTTTTACATAACGTGTTTTAAATATCAGGAAAAAAAACATATTAATCATACTTACGCAGGTAATTTTTAAACTATATTCATATTTAATTTTAAAAGGTTACACGTGCAGAAACTCAAAGACAACTTCAAATATATATATTTTAACACACAAACCCCCCCAGTATTTTGCAATATATCTTAGCTACTGTGCCCTTTTTCGGCACATGTCAACTGTTTTATCCACATTTTAGCTGAACTACCGAATTCCTGATAGGATTATTTTGCAGGAATATGCATCATTTATCAAACTGTCTGGGTCTTTGGGACTGGGTATGCATTCTGGTTTGCCTCTTGGCAGGGCAGGCTGCCCAGCATGTGAGTCTCCAAACACAGCCTAGCTGTCATTTATGGTGTCCCGTCCTGTGTTCAGCAAGCTTTTATTTGTTGGCCAGGGACTGTAAAACAGGATTGTCGACAAAGTGGCCGAGTACTGCACAAGACTCATGGGCCGTAAATTGTACAGGTACAGTCTCAGAGGGATGGCTGTGAATATCTGGTTAGCTGCAAGCCCGCTTCAAAGCAGTAGTCAGAGGTAATGCATTGAGGGCTGTAAGAATATGCCAGGGGCTGAAGCAGTATAGCTCATATAATATGCAGGATGCACACAACAGTAAATGCACACAACTGCTTAAGAGTTCTGGCTAACAGCTGTACACTTTCTTCCTCCCTGTTGTTTCTGAAAGAAGTAGGAAGGTCTCGTTGAATGAGCAGGAGCAAAACTGCTGCGTGCGGCAGCTCTGAAGGAATCTGAAGCAAGTTTGCCAAGGGCTGTGGCCTGTGGAAAGAATGTGCATGTATGTCTAATGTTTTTTACAAGGCTGTTTGTGTACTTTGAAATGCCCATTGTAGTAGCTGTCTGCTTTGTAGATTTGAATGTATTGAAAATGAGAGCAGTTTTCACGAAATCATGACTAGTTATGAACATTAACAAGTAAAATGAAGTTAAAAAAAAATAAATTATTGTTTTATATTTCACCTCCTTGGGAATCATTTACTCTCACCTCTTTCCGCATCCGCCACCCCTGCTACAAACTATCAGATTTCTCTGGCTGCATTGTTTGCTCTGGCTGTCTTTTAGGATATACTTGAGCAGTGTGCTGGCCAATGACTAAATGTGGCTTCTGATATCCACACACGGTTATAGGACCTTTTGTTTCGGGGGGGGGGGTGTAGTTCTTGTGCTGGCAGAGATAAGGAACTAAAGAAATTCATAAAGGACCCCAAATTCATTGGGGGGGGAGTTGTATTCTTGTTACTTGCACATAATTTATTTTAAGAGTGATTCAGCTTTGGCCTATTCATTGTATGACACTTCTTAGGTAAAAATCAGCCCCACGGTCATGTTTACATTTAAAAAGTCAGTAAGGAATCGAGGGCAAGGCTCTAGAGAAAGTAAAGTCTAACCATGTGAGCAGTTGCTGAGAAACAGGGAGGGCTGTGGCTCAGTAACAGAGCATCTTCTTGGCATGGAGAAGGTCCCAGGTTCAGTCCCTGGCATCTCCATTTAAAAGAACCGAGTAGTAGGTACTGTGAAAGACATCTGCCTGAGACCCTGGAGAGCCATTGCCAGTCTGATTAGACAGTGCCAGCTTTGATGGACTGATGGTTTGATTTAACAAGGCAGCTTCATGAGTTCATGTGTGTCTTTAATGCCTTCCTGGTTTATGCTTCCACTGGAAGGATTTGTAGTGACCCCAGTGGGGCATGGTAAACAAGGCTGTCTTTTCCATAAAAGAGGAGGAGATTGGATTTATACCCCGGCCTTCACTCGGAGTCTCAGAGCGGCTTACAAACTCCTTTCCCTTCCCCTCCCCACAACAGACACCTTGTGAGGTAGGTGGGGCTGAGAGAGCTCTTTCCAGAACTGTCCTTGAGAGAACAGCTCTGACAGAACCATGACTTGCCCAAGGTCATCCAGCAGCTGCAAGTGGAGGAGTGGGGAATCAAACCCGGTTCTCCCAGATTAGAGTCCACGCACTTAACCACTACACCAAACTGGTCAAAGGTATCTATGACACTGTCATTTATTGATCCCCAGTGCAGTGCCCATAAGTGTCATGGTGACCAGCAGTGTGCTTACTTGTGTTGACTTGCTTTTCTCTTAAAAAAAAAAATCTCTTCCCCAAAGCAAATTCTGGCTTTCTTCCACCTCACTGGAGAAGGAGCTGCTTCAGAAGACCCCAGATAGCATCACCTTTGATTGGACCCGCAGGAGAACTCATCATCAGACCATGCTTGGCTTAGGACTTCTCAACCTTTTGTCTTTATCTCCAGCAGCCTCCCATGGCAGCCATTTCATGGTAGTGCTCAGACTACATATGTACATGCCAAGCAAGGGGCGTTCAAGGCAAGTGAGTAGCAGAGTAGCAGAGGTGGCTTGCCTTCCATCCAAGTACCAACCCCACTTAGCTTCCAAGATATGACAAGAAAGGCTGTATCATACTGCCTTCCCTGCAGTGCTCACTACCTTTCTCAAAATTCCAAAAGTGGCCACAAACTCATCAAGTTTAGGACCCCTACTACAGATCAACATCACTAGCATGCTAGTGAGATGTTCTCTAGGGCCTCACACCAAGGCCACCAGAGACTCCAGTTTTCAAGGTCTCAGGGAAAATCCCATGCAAAGTACATAGCTGTCATCTGAAGTACATTTAGGAGGAAGGGGGAAAGGAGGAGGAAAGGATATGAGAGGAGGACTGTGCATATTTCTGTGTCTGTGTATATGCACTCATGTATGTGCATCTTTGAATGGGATGTGTATGTATATATAGGCAAGAAATTGTAAGTCGCACATGCATTTGGCTGGGTACATAGCTAATAGGCGTTTATGTGACCAAATTTATATTACATGTATGCCTCTTGGTGCCTTACCGACAATTCTAAGGCATCTACTGTTTCTGTCTAAGACTACAAGTCAGTGCACGTTTTCATGGGAGTAAATCCTATTGAATCTAGCAGGACTTCTTCTTCCATTAACATGCTCAGGATTGTGCGGAATTCACAGAAAATCACCAGCCATCTTCACGAAGATATTTGTATTGACCAAAGCTTTTAAGTCAGCAGGATGGCAGCCCACAAGACTGTGAAGTGAAATAATGTAGCCCCAAAACAGACCTAAAAGTATCATCCTGGTGGACAGGGGTCTTTTGGGGCCAGAGCGCACTAGAGCACCGCCCCGGCAGCCCAGGAGCCCGCGCAAATGGCAGCAGTGACTAGCCCCACCCCTAGCTCCACGCAGAAGCACTGCGGCTCGGGGGAGGCTGGAGAGCCCTGCCCCCGGGTCCCCCGGGCCCACGGAGAAGCGCTGCCGCTTGGGGGATGCCTGGAGAGCCCCGCCGCTGGGTCCCCTGGGCCCGTGCAGAAGCGCTGCGACTCGGGGGAGGCTGGACAGACCCGCCGCCGGGGCGCACAGGA